TTTGCATAAAATGACGTCACTTCACGGACCTGGTTGAAGACTGTAAACAGTTACTGAGGGCGCGTTCCCCCAGACTCCTTGATTGGTCTATTACCAAAGTGGCCTAATTTACATGTGCGATGGGTGTTTCCCCTCCCCTGGCCTATATAGGCTGCAACCTTTCACTCAATAGAGACTTCATCAGATTACTGTCTTGTTTCCATTTCTCGTGTCTCTTGTTCCCTTCAATTCCCACTCCCCCCTCCAGGGTCTGCGTTGACGTTCCTGCGGGCCAGGGACACAGGTCTACTCTGTCACATCTGGGGGCACTATTAGTTGGAATCAACCGGACAGCATATTTTTGGTTACTTCCATCTTCTGTTGTAGAATAGAGGAGATCTAAAGGTGGTGTTTCATCCTTGTATTTTGAGATCCTACCACACGTGAGTTTTTGAATTATTACCCAACCTGAAGCAATAAGACATGCAGTTATGGGTTTGAGTACAATGTTCTAGAATGGGGAGAAGTTCATCATATCCAGAAAGGACAGAGACAAGAGTATCTAACCATCCTTGACGGTCAAGACAGATAGTCTGGACTCGACTCAGAAAAGACCTATCAAAACTAGTGACACAAGAGAAGCTATATTTCAAAATCATATCTCCGGGTTTCACACTAAACAATCTCAGGTTTTAGAGAGGAGGCAGGAGAACAGGCCCTTGATGCGCCTCTGCCCTCCTTTCCCACTCACCTTATACCCCTGGCACACATCTTCAACAAGGGATGTGGTGTGCCCTTTGTGCTGTGGTGCCCGCTCACAGCGCCAGCAGATGAGTTGGCCCTCATCCTCACAGAACAGCTGGAGTTGTTCTCCGTGTTCCTCACAGACTACTTCCTGGCTCATCTCCTTGATGGCCTGAATGAGATTTCCCAGCTGCTTGTTGGGCCGAAGGCTCTGCTCTCCAAAGGGGGCCCGACACTGGGGACAGAACTTCTCTTCCCCTGCTGTTAGAAAGCTTGGGTTCTGAAGGAAATCCATTATGCATTTTTGGCAATAACTGTGTCCACAGCTGATGCTCATTGGGGTAGTCATCAAGCTGAGGCAGATGGCACAGGTGGCTTCATCCTTGAGCTTTTTGGTAGGAATGGGTGAAGCCATGATTTCTATGAAAAAGCTCCAATAGTGGATCTTGAGGCAGAGGTGAAGCAGCTAGCACTTCCCACAGTGAGGGAAATACCTCGCACCCCTCACCGGAGTCTCTGTGTGATGCGTTGGCTGCCCCTAGCCTCCACAGGTCCTAGTTTTCTCTCTAGAGAAAAGAAATGGATCAGAATTTAAAAGCTACATACACATCTAATTGTGTCATCTAATATGATAGCCCGTGACAACATGTGGCTGCTGAAATCAACAAAAATGAAATAAACTTAAAATTCAGTTTCCCTGTCTCAGTAACCACACTTCGATTTCTCGAGAGCCACCTGAGGCTCATGGCCACACGGCAGTCCAGATCTACAAAGTTCCATCATTGTCAACCACTGGGTCAAGGGAGCGAGAAAGGTAGGCTTCCTGACAGAAGCTGCCCAAGAAAATCAATGAGGGAGTGTGAAGCTTTCACATTCTAATGATCAGGGGGGAAAAAAATATATCACCAGCATCATCTCCTTTTGAATGGCAGCAGCTCTCAAGTAATTGGGTAGTCTGTGAAGTTTCCACTGAGAGAGACAATTTTGACTCCACCTCCCAGGGAAAAAAATAGCCCACTAGATTTTTTTAAAATTCAGTAGAGACCCAATCAGGAGACTATAAAAATAACCAAGGCAAGTGGACAGTTTGTCCTTTATCTTTTGGGTCCTCCTCCCTCCTAGGAGCCCTGCTGGCAAGGTGGGTTGCTAGTTGCACTGCAAACCAGGTCAGCAGTTCAAAACCACAAGGTGCTCCGCGGGAGAAAGATAAGGTTTCCTACCATCTAGGAACCCCGTATCTAGGAACTCCGTAGGGGCAGTTCTATACTGCCCTACAGGCTCACTGAGTTGGAATCGACCCAATGTCATTAAGAGTAGGCTCCCTCCTAGCACACCCCCCCCAAACAAACAGAACCCTAACTCCTTGTTCTTGGAGTCCATGATCACAGTTGACATACTCCACAGGGTTTCCAAGGTCCTAAGTTTTTTAGGGAGGCAGACACCACCCGTTTTTCCCAGGTGAGTTCAAACTGCGAACCTTTCAGTCAGCAGCCAACTGCTAACTATTGAACTGCCAGGGTTCTTTTCCAAGAACTTTGGGAGGGAGTTAGAAAGAGGCACAGAAGTTGTATGAGCCCCCAATAAAATGATTAAAAATAAAAACAAGAAGCTTTAATAAAAAGAAAAGAAAGAGGCACAGAGGGCAAGGGCTACTACGCCTAGGGAATATGGCTGCGGGGACAGAGGACCTGGACTGTCAGGATGTCATGTGGGAGGAGTCGAGGTGCTGGAACACAGGGAGTTTGCCCAACTCCAGGATGTAGGGGAGGTGGGCAGACAAGTCAGATGGGAGCCATTCTGGTAGAATCTTGGCGCGGGAGCCCCTAAATCACAGCTGCCGGAAGCATCCAAGGAGTCTGTTCGCTCAGTCCCTCCGGGAGCGGTTTTAGGAGAGGAGTCCTGTCCCCTCTTGCAGCAAGAGGTGACCAGACGTCCCGCTTTGGGCTGGACAGTCCCGATTGTGGGCGTTTTAAAAAAGTCCCGATTTTTGGAAAGAATGCACGACAAGCTAGGGAACGGTTTATTTGGTCCATGTAGACCAAATTTTTAATCAAGAACACTCCCCCCACCCCCGGTTCATGGTGTCCCGCTTTAAATCTGGTCACCTTAACTGGGGGTCTGGACGCAGGGCACATTGGAAGTGGCCTTGCCCTCGACCTGACAGCACTTGGAATGAAAGGCAGCGCTTCGAGTCACGGGACGGGACAGGCGTTTACTCAGGGAGTTGCTGGGAGTCCTCAGCGGGGTCTTTCTATCCGAGGAACTCCCCACCCCCACCCGGGTGCTTGGCCTGGCCTTGGGTCACCACGGCCCGGACCTGCGGAAAGAGAAGCCCCCAGGGGCGGAAACGGCCCAGCTCTAGGCCTTTTCCCAGTGGAAGTCGGGCGAGGCTCTTCCCAGGACGCGGGAATGGCTCCCCGGGCCCCCGCCTCTCACATACCTACATCAACTCCCACAAGAACGGGCCC